CGCCTCAGGGTGATGCCATCAGGCAGCAGGACTGGCTGCCACCCCCGCCCCCCCACTCGCCCCATACATTTCTTCTTGCTTTTCTTCTCCTTCTTCTCCCCGTTCACCTGGAACATGGACATGGGCTCCTTCTTGGTGCTTTTGGCAGATTTGGCTTTGCCATCAGGGTTGCTCTTGTCTCCTGGCAGGATGGAGGAGCCGATGAGCGGCCGGACAGGGGGACGGGGATGGGCGGTGATGGGGGACAGGGAGGTGACAGGGTTGGGGCAGCGGGAAGGGGTGAGCCGGGGAGAGATTGCATGGGGAGGGGGCGACTGCCCTGCAGCCCCCTGAGCCTCCTGGGACAGCGATGGGGACGGGACACAGGCGATCCCCTTGTGTCAGCAAGGACGGATGCAAGTGGCAACGGCGCTGGGTACAAGCCGTCCCCATCCCCTGGGCACTCACCCTTCGGCTTCAGCTTCTTCTCTCGGCTCTCGCCCGGGGGGGGCTCTTTGGGCAGTTTCTTCTTGAGCTTTTTTGGCGGGTCTTTATTCTCCACCTCCTCTTCCTCCTCCTCCTCCTCCGAGTCCTCGGCCGGCCCTGCCGGGAGGTGACACCGTGCCATCAGCAACGCGGTGGCCTCTTGCATCGGGGACCCGCAGCCTCATGGTTTGCGAGCAGGGAACCTCCCTCGGCAGTGCCGGGCTGGTGTTGGCAACCATCCCGCCACGGCCAGGGGGCTGGGGGCGTGGGGGGCCGGGCGGGGTGTGGGGGCCGTGGGTTCCCGGCCCAGCCGCGGTGGCCAGCAGCACGTTGGACATGTCCAGTGCCGGACACAGCATGTGAAGTCACACCGCCATCTCGCGGCTGCAGCCCCGGGGTGCGGAGCCGGGGGGACGAGCCCCATCTTTTTGCCCACTCCATCTTTTTGCTCCGGAAAGATGTCCGGGGAGCTGGTGGCACCGGCCAGCCGCCGACTGCCACATTCCCAGGGAGCGTGTGTGTGTCCCCCGATCCCGACTCCCTAGCCAACGCCACGCATACAGGTCCCCTGCCACATCCCCTTTCCTCCCGGGTGCGTAGCTGGGTTTTGGCCAAAAAGCCCCCCAGGGACATGCAGAGCCCCTGCAGACACCGGGAGCATCGATGGCACCGGCGGGACATGGTACACAGGGACCTGAGGTGCCCCGAGCGGGTGCCTGCAGAGGGGTGGGTGCTGCCCCCCCACCTTGCTGCTTCTTGGGGCCCTTGGCCACGCGGGAGCGGGGGGCTGGGCTCTCCTTCTTCTTCCGAGGCTCCCTGGTGAATTTGGAGTAGGGGTCCTTGTTGCTCTCCTCCTCCCCCTTCTCCTCCTTCTTCTTCCTCAGCTTCTTCACCCCTGCACATTTCAAGAGATGCCTGCGATGGAGAGCACCGCTGGTGCAGGATGGGGCCACGGGGGGGGACCAGCGTGTCCCCCCCATTTCCATGGGACCTGTGGCGGGTCTGTGCTTACCCTGTGCCGGGGCACAGGGCTCCTCCGCAGCCCCCGGCTTCTTCCCCCGCGGCCGCGGGGGCTTGGCCTCAGGCTCCGGCACGGGCTCCTGCCGCTTCTTCTTCAGCTTCTGCCCCTGCGGATGGTGCTGCGGAGACGGTGCTGGCCTTAAATCCCTTTTCCCTTTGCAAGGCAACCCCTGTCATACAGCACCGGCTCCCTTTCTGAAACACAGCCGGGCTTCTCCCCGGCCCCACGTCGGAGCAGGGACCCGCTCCGGGGAGATGGGGACACGCTTGCACCTTCAAACGAGCCATTACCGAAGGGAACGACTTACCATGGGGCAGCCCACCGGGGAAGGCAGAGGGAGGAAAACAGAAAGGACTGTTAGCAGACAGACGGGAGAGCGTCAGCGCTGGGACAGACGGCCGCGTGCCAGCCCCGGGGATGAGGGACATGATGCTGGCGCTGCCCTGACGCCATGAACCACGCCAGCATGGAGGGACAAGCCACGTCGTGCCGTAGGGACCCCGGCCGGGAGCCACCCCGGGCACCCGCTCATCTCCCAGTGGGCATCCCAGGGGACCTAAACTGGGACAGGGGACACGGGGACAGGCAGGCAGCCTGGCTCCGCACTTCCATCTCCTCTCGCCCACACAAAAGGCTCCCATCGAAGGCAAGGAGTCGCGGAGCCGTGCTGGGATGAAGGTCAGCAGGAGTGGGGAGGCAGGGGTATTAGGCACAGCACACCTAATCCTGGTTAGCCAGGCCTATAAATAACCCTGATTTACCAAATGCAGAGCACGTGGGGCAGCACTTGGCTCCAGACAGGAGATATTTGGGGAGTGGGTGTCAGTTCAGGGCCCTCAGAAAGTGATTTAAACAAATCCAGTCGCACCAGGGCACCCACCGCCCAGCAAAGCACCTTCCCCCTCACAGGGGTTTCGTCCCTCCCGGATTCCCCAGCATGGTGGGTGAAGGTGTTTTGCAAGAGGGGTGATCCGGCCAGATCCCAGCGGGATCCCAGCGCTGAGGATTTGCCGGGGGGTGGTGGTGGTGGGGAAGCTGGGGGTCCCACAGCGGAGAACTGGCTGGTTTCTTCCATGTCATCAGCTCACACCAAAAAGCTCCTTCGCATCCTTTAATCCCTTAAGCAGCTTGGGGGGGAGGACAGCCACTCGCTTCATTACTTAATGAAGCCCTTCGAGGAGGGGCTGCTGATTAAATCAGGTTGTCGATGAAACTGCTGCTGAGACCCCTCTGAGGGCGGGCGGCACCCAAGGGCTGTGCCGAAATGCAGTGAGTGGGGTCTGGCCTTCGGGGTCACGGCCTGGGGAAAGTGAGTCACGGCTGACGGCTTAACTGAAAGGCTTAATTAAAGCATTAATTAGGAACTGAGAGCCCACGTCATGGGGTGCTTCGAAGTGATGGAGATGGGGTTTGGAAGGAT